TTAAACTACTTCTAAAAATTCAAAAGGAAGGAACCTTCCCAAATTCATTCTATGAAGCTTCCATCATCTTCATTCTAAAACCAGACAAAGACATGACAAAAAAGAAAACTTCAGGCAAATATCCCTGATGAATACAGATAAAAAAATTCTCAACAACATTAGCAAATCGTATTTGACAACATATTTAAAAAGATTATACACCATGCTCAAGTAGGTTTTAAAAAACTCTTAAAAACAAACAAACAAACAAATAACCTCCCCCCCTTCCCATGATCTTATCAGTCAATGCAGAAAAAACATTAGATAAAATACAACATCCTTTCATGGTTAAGACTCTCAGCAAAGGGCCAGCAGATGGGATAATGGTTACTTTGCTGGACTCCCACACGGTCCACTGCAGTTTGTGTCTTGCACTCAGCGGGCTGAAACTCACACTGGGCATGTGTGCATGTGTGCTCAAAATCCCAAGAGGAGAATGGAGAAGGAGGACTAGCAGTTTGTGTAATGGCTATGTTGCTGGGCTCCCATATAGTTGACCACGGTTCAAGTCCCGGACCCGGAGGCTTAAACTCACACTGGGGGCGTGTACGTGCATGCCCAAGATCCCGAGAGGAGAATGAAGGAGAGGGGATGGCGGTGTGGCCATCCCCCCTGGGGGGGTGATTTCTTGCTTTCTGTCTTTCTGTCTCTCTCTCTCTCTGGAGAGCACACACGCCCTATAGAAAAAAAAAATAGGGAAACAAAATAGAAACAAACAAAAAAAAAAAAAAGAAGGGACTGTGGCATGGCCATCCCCCCTGGGGGGGTGATTTCTTGCTTTCTGTCTTTCTGTCTCTCTCTGTCTTTCTGGTGAGTGCATGTGCCCTATAGCAAAAATTTCTCTCTAAAAAAAAAAAGAATCTCAGCAAAAACAGAATAGAAGGGATATTCCTCTACACAATAAAAGCCACCTATGAAAAACCCATAGCTAATGTTCACTGAATGGAGAAAAGCTGAAAGCTTTTCCACTAAAAACTGGAACAAGACAAGGCTGCCCACTTTCTCCACTCCTTTTTAACATAGTACTGGAAGTTCTAGCCAACGCAATTAGACAAGAGAGCCAAATGAAAGGCATCCAAATAGGAAAAGAAGATGTGAAATTATCTCTACTTAAAGATGGTATGACACTATATGTATAAAATCCAAAAGAATCTACCAAAAAATCTCATTTACTATAAATGAATATAGTAAAGTGGCAGGATACAAAATCAACAAACAAAAATCTATACCATTTTTATGTGGACAAACTGAGAAAGAATTAAAGAAAGAAATCCCACTTACAATAACCACAAAACCAATAAGATATCTAGGAATAAATCTTACAAAAGACGTCAGAGATCTCTACAAGGGAAACTATAAAACACTAGGAGAATAAATGAAAAATTATACAAAAAAGTGGAAAAACATCCCATGTTCCTGGATTGGAAGAATATAATTAGGATGTCAATCCTACCCAAACTAATCTATACATTTAATGCAATTCAAATCAAGCTACGGGAGATAGTCCTCACAGAAACAGAGAAAAAACAATCAAAAAATCTGCTGGGATCATAAAAGGCCCCATATCACCAAAGTAATACAGAGCTAGGGGATAAAGTAGGAGACATCTCATTTCCCAACCTGAAAACATATTGCAAAGCTGTGACAATTAAAACAGCATGGTATTGGCACAAAAATAGACAGGTAGACCAATAGAACAGAATTGAGAACCCTCAAATAAACCCCAAAACATACAGCCAACTGATCCTTGACAAAGGTCACAAGACAATACAGTGAGAAAAAGGAAATCTCTTCAGCAAATGGTGCTGGGAGAACTGGATATTCACCTGTAGAAGAAAGAAACTGGATCCTTCTCTGTCACCCACTAACAAAATGGATTGAAGACCCAAACATAGAACTTTAAACTATAAAAATAATAATGGAAAACACAGGAAAAACTCTTGGAGACCTTAGAGTAGGCAAGGACCTCTTAAAGACAATCTCTAGAGGACAGGCAATAATCCCAAAAATAGACAAATGGGACTATACTAGGCTGAAAGGCTTCTGCACACCCAAAGAAACGGTAAGTAGAGTGAGAAGAAAACCCTCAGAGTGGGAGAATATATTTGCAAACTATACCTCAGACAAGAGACTGATAATCAGAATATACAGGGACCCCAAGCAGCTTACCCACACAAAAAAATGAATCAATCCAATTAAAAGATGGGAAAATGAGCTGAACAGACAATTCTCTAAAGAAGACATACGAATGGCCCAAAAGCATATGAGAATATGCTTGACATCTCTTATCATAAAGGAAATGTAAATCAAAACCACAATGAGATACCACTTAACCCCAGTTAGAATGGCAAAAATTAAAAAAATAAATAACGATAAGTGCTGGCGCGGCTAGGGTAATAAGGGAACTCTCCTACACTGCTGTGGGGATACAGATTAATACAACCACTTTGGAGATTGATACGGAGATTCCTCAGAAACCTACAAAAAGAACTCCATATGGCCCAGTAATTCCACTCTTAGGCATGTACCCAAAGGATAGAAAAACCTTCAGTCAGAAAACACTTGTACACCCATGTTTATTGCAATATTATTTACAATTGCTAGGACATGGAATCAACCCAAATATCTAAAAACAGATGACTGGATGGAAAAAATGTGGCATATATATTCTATGGAATACTACTCAGCCATAAAAAAAAAAGAGACCCTGACATCTGATACAAAGTAGATGAATATGGAAGACTTAATGCTAAGCAAAGCAAGCCAGTCTATGAAAGACAGACTTTATGTCCCAATATGTACTGATTCTCTGCACTCTATGGCAGAAACTGAGTTTGGAAGGTATATCTGCCAGGGAGGGCAACTGTAGATATTAGAGATAGCAGGACAGGGCTAATAAAGGGGTGAGTAATAGAGAGAGAGAGGAGAACAAGGTTTAATGGGCAAAAAAATGAAAAGCTACTTGCTGATGATAATGTATACAGTAATGTCTTTGGCTTGACTGATATTCATGATATTCATGCTGGAAAAAGTAATGTTGTACACTGTAAAGATATTATCTGATTAAATGTAAATTAAAATAAAAAATTGGGACCAGGAGATGGCATAATGATTACATTGCTAAACTCCCACAGAGTTGACAGTGGTTTGAGTTCTGGACTTGGCTTAAAACTCACACTGGGCGCATGTGCGTGTGTGCCCAAAATCCCAAGTGGAGAATGGAAGAGAAGAGACTGTGGTGTGGCCAGACCTCCGGGGGGAATGATTTCTCGCTTCTGTCCATCTCTCTCTGGATCTCCAGCAAGCACACACAGCCTATAGCAAAAATCTCTCTTAAAGGGCTGAATGGTGGTTAAAGTGACCAGATCTTGCATGATCAAAAGCATGGTCCGAGTCTTAGACCCAGCAGTTTGAAAAACATGACAAACTCTGTGTGTGTGTGTGTGTGTGTGTGTGTGCGCATGTGCATATATGTTCAAAATCCCAAGAGGAAAATGGAGGAGAAAGGGACTGTGATGTGGCCATCCCTCCTGGGGGGTAGGAGTGGGGTGGGGTGGTGATTTCTCGTCTTCTGTCTTTCTGGCGAGCACATGCACCCTATAGCAAAAACCTCTCCAAAAATTAATTAATTAGTTAATTAACTTTTCCATATGTTTGCAGTTTTCCATAATAGAAAAAGTTAAAAGAAAGTTAAAATAAAATGAGGGACCAGCAGACAGTGTAATGGTTACATTGCTGGACTCCCGTGTAGTTGATTACGGTTCAAGTCCAGGACCCAGTGGCTTATAACTAACACCAGGCATGTGTGTGTGCATGCATAAGATCTGACAGGAGAATGGAGGAGAAGGGATTGCAGCATGGCCATCCCTCACCCCTACCTCGAGATTTTCTTTCTTTTTTATTTAAGAGAGGTTTTTGCAATAGGGCATGTGCAATCATCGAAAAGACAGAGACAGGAGGTGAGAAATCACACACATACCTCCCCGGGGGGATGGCCATACCACAATCCCTTCTCCTCCATTCTCCTCTCAGGATCTTGGGCACAAATGCACACGCGTCCAGTGTGAGTTGAAGCTGCTGGGTCCGGGACTTGAACCGTGATTGACTACATGGGAGTCCAGCGATGTAATCATTATGCCATCTGCTGGTCGCCCCTCCCCCTGGGGATTTATTTCTCACTTTCTGCCTCTGTTTCTCACTGTCTCTCTGGCAAGTGCACACTCCCTATAGCAAAAATCTCTCTCTAAAAAAATAATTAAATAAATAAAATGATCCTGATAACAACAGAATAACGAAACCTGAAATTGATTCTAGGCCACTGGTTTAAAAGAGTTGGTGCATGGGACCAGAAGATGGCGTAATGGCTATATCGCTGGACTCCCATGTAGTAGACCATGGTTTGAGTTCCGGACCCGGTGGTTTAAACTCATACAGGGTGCTGGTGCATGTGTGTCCAAGATCCCGAGAGGAGAATGGAGAAGAGATTGCAGCATGGCCATCTCCCCTGGGGGGTGATTTCTTGCTTTTTCTCTGTCTCTGTCTTTCTGGCGAATGCACACACACTATAGCAAAAACCTCTCTAAAACTTCTAAAAAAAATAAAAGAGTTGGTGCACAGTGAAGAGGGAAAGAAAAAGAGCCTAAGCCTGGGCTTCGTGTGTTCGCAGCTCCTAAGAAGTAAACTGAGAATACTATACGCGTCATCATCAACAGGTAATAAACTATATCCGAATTCCACTAATGTCATGCCTATTTGTTCTCTTGCTTTTCAATGTAATATAAACAAAATTATGATAATAATAAAAAATTTTAAAAAATAGAAGTAAATTGGCCTCTGCTGGCGATGGGGCCTACAAGAAACACATGGTGGTGTGAGGTCTGAAAAGTACACGACAAAGGATAAGAGCCACCACTCTAAACCACAGCCTCAACTTTAGACACAGACTTTAAGAGAATACTTACACGTCTGTGAACGAAGAGGGAATATTTTCTTCCACCCACTTCAAATCTTCATCCTATAGAAATAAATATTTATAATTAGCATTTGATTAATAGCACCTGAGAGTAGTAATAGAATGTGTGTGTATATATGTGTGTGTGTGTGTGTGTGTGTGTATGTATATATATATATGTAATTTAAGAATTTAATTTCAAATGTATGACATTCTTTCAGTTTCCATCTATGTCCTAAGAAGCTGGGATTTATGCCACACAGAAATTATGCTTGTGTTTTCTTAAATAGGCAAACAAAAACAGGGTTTCCGATTTTCGTATTTATTCTTGGTTGGTAAGACATGTAACTGTTATTTTGTCCTGAGGAACCAGGACAGAGAGTCAATTTTTTATAAGACATAAAACATAAAGAATATTGACTTGTATCGACTTTTCTTGGTTTCCTATTCATTTCTAATTGGTTCAAATTTTTGTATCATGAGTTTATAATTTTTCAATAGAAAAAGACGATGGTACAAATATTTTAACTTTAGAAAAGCTTACTTCTTTGTAGAGCTCGTATTTATGCTCATCTCCCTACATAAGATAGGAAAAGAAAGCAGGGAGCTGGGGTATCTAGAAAAAATTTTTGAGAGAGTTTTGCCATAGGCAATGTATCTTGCCAGAAAGACAGAAAGTGAGAAAATCATGCCGCTCCACCCGGGAGATGGCTGTGTCGCAATCCCTTCTCCTCCATCCTCCCCTCGGAATTTCAGACACACACGCAAAAGCACCAGGTATGAGTTTCAAGTCGCCAAGTCCAGGGCTCAAACCAGATTCAACCACATGGGAGTCTAGCACCTTAACCATTGCGTCACCTGCTGGCCCCTAAATAATTTTTTTTTTAAACAGAAACTTGCTATAGTATTTCATTTGAAGGAGTTAAAATGAAAGGTATACTGAATATTTTGATTTATAATGTAAAAAAAAATAAAATAAAAAATGTTCTCTGTTGTGTACGTAGCTCCATGGAATGCCCTGGTCCTAGGAATGAGTTACATTTTGCCAACCCCCAGAGGAACAAAGCACCTTAGCCAGGATTAAGAACAAAATGCTCTGTGGGTCTCAGGTAGAAGTCAGTCAGTGAGAGGTAAGATCTCTGACTTCTCAGTAAGAGCTCGCTGTTCTTATTAAGTTAGAGAAGTAAAAGCATATTCCTTGACATATGTGCAAATACTGAGCTTTAAAGTAAAGTAAGATATATCCTAAAACGAGAAGATGATACCTAACCAATTGAAAATGTAATAGTTCTAACACTGGACAACTAAAACTCTTGCCATTTAAAAAAAGTTTTAGTTAAATGACCATAAAATTAGTACATTTTAAAGAATAGTTACATTACTAAAAATAAAAATTACATTACCAAAAATAAAAATTAAAAAGTGGTGTGGTAGTTAAGGCATGGGACTCTCATGTGGCCAACAGTGGTTTGAGCCCCAGGCCGAGCAGGATGAAAATAATGCTGAGGACATGTGTGTGCACGCTTCAAATCTTGAGAGGAGAAAGGAGGAGAACGGACTGTGGCATGGTCATAACCCCCAGGGGCTGATTTTTCACTTTCCCTCTGTCTGCCTCTCTCTAGTGAGTTCGCATATCCAATGGCGAAAAATCTCAAAAAAGTAAAAATATAAACTGAAGAATTTAACAAATCTGACAGATGACAATGTTTTTACCTATCATCTGTCCTTCAGGACTTATATGCATGAGTCACCCATGGAATTTTGTTAAGAAGCAGACTGAGACTCAGCAGGCCTGGAGTAGGCCTAAGAGTCTACATTTCTAAGAAGGCCCCAAAGGATGCTTATGCATCTGATCTTGGAAGGGCACTTGAGAAGTGAGGATCTTCAAGAGAGTCCACAGTTCTGGGGTTTAACGAGCACCTCTAGACAGTAACACCTGTACACACGTGCACACAGAATAGTAATAACGTTCCAACAGTCGACAAATAAGACACTCCTATACATTTATGAAGTGTTAAAAACCGAGAGTCTATTAAATTCATGGAATACTTACAAAATTATCAGAAGTAGCAGGTTTGGCTGTTCCATTAGAAACTGTTTTTGAGGCTCTTAACTTTATTCCTTCAGCTAGAATAAAAACATTACAGATAATATATGCAAAATTATAAAATATTATCTTCCTTTATAGTGTCACTTTTTTGTTTTTAGAGAGATTTTAGCTATAGGGCTTGTATGCTCACTGGAGAAATAAAGAGAGATAGGAAGTGAGAAATCACCCCTCAGGGTGGATGGCGACACTGCAATCCCTTCTCCTCCATACTCCTCTCAGGATGTTGGCCACACTCACACACAGGCCCAGTATGAGATTCAAGCTGCCAGATCTGGGACTCAAACAGCTGTTGGCCATGTGGGAGTCCAGCAACATAACCATTACGCCATCTGCTGGTCCCTATAGCATCACATTTAACAGCCAAATAAGGACAAAGTACGCGATGTCTTCAAAAAGTCTGCAGAAATTAGTATTATGAAAACACTATGCAGTATTTCAAAACATATATATTCTTTTGAATTTGTCTACTTTCATACAACAAAACATTTTAAAAATTCACTCTCCTTGTAGAGTGCTAGTTATTTTTTATTACTAAGTGGTATTCCACTGTGTAAGGACATCACCATTTTTTTTTATCCACTCATCTATTAACGTATATTTGTGTTATTTCCAGTTGTGAACTATTGTAAGGCTACTGTAAACATTACTGTCTTTCTGGAGTCATCTGCTTCATTTCTTCCAGGTAAAAATCTTGGAGTGGAATGACCGGTCTGTACATTAGGTGCATTTTTTAGCTCTATCAGGAACTGTCAAATGGTTTTCCAAAGGGATCGGACTACTTCATATTCCTTCCCACAGAGTATGAGAAACGTATTGACGGTTGTTCCAGATCCTCTCCAACATTTCATGTTGTGTCTGCCTAATTTTAACCATTCTGGTGGATGTGGGGTAGCGTCTCATTATAGGCTTAGCTTGCATTTCCCAATGACCAATTGTACAGAGCAACTTTTAATGTGCTTATTGCCCGTTCTGATGTCTTCTTGCAAATGAAGTGTCTCTTCGAGGTTTATGTCTATTGTTAAAATGGGGTTACCTTTTATGGATCTACAGGAATTCTACTTATTCTAGATCTAAGTCCTCTGTCAGATTTATGTATTGTAGCTTTTTCATCTTAAGTTTCTCTGGATGAACACGCTTTAAAAACATTTCCTCTCCCTTTATTTCTGACAGGATGCATGTGTGTGTGTGTGCACCTGAGACAGATGAGCGCCCTCCACAGGGGCTGGTCCCTTTCCTCTAGTCCTCCATCCCATCGGAGCAGGGGCACTCGCGTGTGCGCCTGGCATGTTTCCGGTTGGACCAGGGATTCAAACCGTGGTCACTGAGTGACCCAGTTTCTCTTGAGAAGTACATTATCACTGCGCCACGGAGTCAGCCCAAGCAGACAGTGATAAAGTTCACTGAATTTTATTTATTTATTTATTTATTTATTTAGCAGAGGTTTTTTCACTATAGGGCGCGTGTGCTCGCCAGACAGACAGGGAGAGACATAGAGACAGAAAGCGAGAAATCACCCCCCAGGGGGGATGGCCATGCCGCAATCCCTTCTCCTCCATTCTCCTCTCGGGATCTTGGGCACGCACACACATGCGCCCGGCGTGAGTTCTACGCCACCAGGTCTGGGACGCGAACCACGGTCGACTACGTGGGAGTCCAGCGACATAGCCATTACGCTAACTGCTGGTTCCCCTGAATTTTAAATTCTAAATGTCCTAACAAATGACAAGGTCAAGAAGACTTGTTTTTTTCTAGAAGGGTTATAGTTTAAGCTTTTACATTTAGGTCTAGGATCCATTTTTAATTAATTACTGAGATGTCCAGTAAAAGGCTACTGATTGTTTTTTCTCATACGTTGATCCAGTTGTTCCAACATTATTTCTCAAGAAAAATATTCTTTCCTCAGACCGTCTTGCTGCTTCTGTCAAAAATCATCTGGCCACTAAATTAATATATTGTGGTCAGAAGTCAAGATGCATTTTGCATAGAAAACCATAGGAAAAAAATACGTCAAGACTTTTCCAACACCCAATAATTTTTTTTTTTTTTAATTTGCCAGATGGTACATATGCTCACCAGAGAGAGAGAAAGAGGAGGAAAAAAAGCATCCACCAGTGGGGCATCATGGTGCAGTTCCTTCTCCCTCATTTCTCTATGCTGTGAGGGTTTGGGGCATGCACATACACGTGCCAGGTATGTCTTCCAAGTCACTGGGTCAGAGATTTGAACCACAGGGTTGACCATAAGGGATCCAGTTCCCTTAATCGGTCCATGGGTCTGCCCAAGTTCAGTTTATTTCTAAACTCTGTTTTGCTATATTCATGTATTTCTCTAACCTTATGGCAGTATCACATTTTCTTGACTGTTATAACTTGAAATCATGTCTTCAATCTGTGTAAGTTCACTAATTTTAATTTATTGAGATTTAATTTACAAACCATAAAATGAACCCTTGTAAAGTGTTTAATTCAGTGGATTTTAGGATAACCACAAAGTTATGTCACCATTTTGCCACTAGCTAATTCCAGAAGATTTTCATCACTCCAAAAAGAAACTCCTTGGGACCAGCAGATGGCGTAATGGTTGCGTTTATGGACTCCTCTGTAGTCTACCACAGTTCGAGTCCAGGACCCGGTGGCTTAAACTCACACTGGGCATGTGTGTGTGCATGCCCAAGATGCCGAGAAGAGAATGGAGGAGGGACTGCGGCGTGGCCATCCCCACTAGAGGGTGATTTCTCACTTTCTGTTTCTCTCTGTCTGACTCTAGCAAGTGTACATGCCCTGTGACAAAAAAAAAAAAGGGGACATGCCCCGGTAAAAAAAAAAAAAAAAAAAAAAAGGAACCCCCATGCCCATTGGTAGCCACTTCCTACTGACCACTTTACCACTCTCTCTGCTCGGACCATCATGAATCTACTTTGTCTCTATGGTTGGCACATATCTGGACCTATCATAACATCATACAATATGTGGTGCGATCTTCTGTGACTGGCTTCTTTCACTTACAATAGTGTTTTCAATATTTATCCATGTCACAACTACTGGAACGTTTAGGCTCTTCCAGGTCGTTTGCTTTTCTATATTTATTTTAGAATCACTTTAACCATTTGCATTGAAAAATTGTGGTTTGTTTTGCTATAGGGCACATGTACTCACTGGAAAGAGACAAAGAGGAGAGAGGAAGTGAAAAGGCAACCCCCAGGGGGTACGGCCACATCACAATCCCTTCTCCATTCTCCTTTTGAGATTTTGAGCACATATGCACACGTGCCTGGAATGTTTTCTAAGCCACTAGGTCCAGGATTCAAAACGTGTAGCTGGCCATGTGGGACCCAGCTGCCTCAACCACCCCTAGTTGTCCCTACATCTGTATTTTTATAAGCCAGCTAGAATTGTGATTGGGATTGTACTCAATCTATATGACAGTTTGCAGAACCAACAGTTTAACAATACTGAGTGCCAATTCGTAAATGTGTTTAAATCATTGCCGGCTGGCAGGTGGTATGGGAGTTAAGGGCACTGGACTCCCACATGGCCAACTGCAGTTTGAATCCCAGACCTGGCAGCTTACTTTCTCACTTTCTCTCTCTTTCACTCTGTCCCTCTCTGGTCTTATTAAAATAAATAAAGTTAAATAAAATAATTCTTTGAAAAAAAGTTTAAATCCCCGGGACCAGCAGTTTGCATAATGGCTATGTCGCTGGACTCCCATGTAGTTGACTGTGGTTCGAGTCCCAAATCTGGTGGCTTACACTCACACCAGGCATGTGGGTGCGTGCCCACAATCCTGGGAGAAGAGCAGAGGAGAAGGGACTGTGGCATAGCCATCACTCCACAATCCTGGGAGAAGAGCAGAGGAGAAGGGACTGTGGCATAGCCATTCCTCCTGGGGGTGATTTCTGGATTTCTGTCTCTCTGTCTCTGTCTTTCTGGAGAGTGCATGCGACCTAAAGCAAAAACTTCTCAAAAACAAAACAAAAAAAAAAAAGTTTAAGTCCCTACATTTCTATGTTGGGAAATTTTTCTGTGTTGTTTTGTAGCCTTCATTGCAGAGGTTTTGCATACTATTTCATTAAATTTATTCCTACATTTTATTTTTTGCAGGCACTGTAAATAATGTTAGAAGTTTAGTTTTTCATTCCTTCAGTTAGTCTGAAGGCAGCAATTTCTGTAAATAAGAGAATGTCTTTGCTATAGTCACTTACTAGTCCTGCTGTACTTTTTCTTTCTGTGGGCTTTTTACAATTTTCTGTACATAAAATCTTTTGTCTGCAAATAGTCTTACTTCTTCCTTTCTACACTTTATGACTTTTACATTCTTTGGGGCTTTGTTTGCTTTGCCTCTGCTTTTGCTTTGCCCTGGCTACGATCTCCTACATGGTGCTAAATCACAGTGGTGAGTAGATATCTTTTAATTTGGTCCCAGTCCTGGAAGGGAAGCATTCATTATTTTGCCGTCAGACATGATTTTAGCTGTCGAGTTTTTCATGCCATTCTACAATTACTTTGCTGAATTTTTCCTTTTGTTAAATCTGTATCTACTGAGATACATATGTTCTTTTTCTTCTCTATTCTTTTAATATGATGAATTATACTGAGTGATCTTTTGAAAAGTTACATAAGGTTGCTATCATGGGGTAGCATGTACTTCATCATGATTACTTTTCTATATTTTGGTAGATTTTATTTATTAATACTTTTTTTTCTTTTTTTGGGGAGGTTTTTGCTATAGGGCGCGTGCGCTCACCAGACAGAGACAGAGAGAAAGAAAGCGAGAAATCCCCCCCCCCCCCAGGGAGGATGGCCACGCTCCAATCCCTTCTCCATTCTCCTCTCGGGATCTTGAGCATGCATGCACACGCACCCGGCGTGAGTTTACACCTCTGGGTCTGGGACTTGAACCATGGTCGACTAAATGGGAGTCCCGCAACCCAGCCATTACTCTAATTGCTGGTCCCTTATTTACTAATACTTTTAAAGAATTTTTATGTCTACTCATTAATGATAACAGTCTGTAA